ACGAGATAATTAGGGTGCTCGTTCTCCAGCGAAACGAATTAGACCGCGGCTCGTCGCACGAGCGAATAAATTTAGGGAATGTTTCGGGCCGAACGGGGTAGGTGAACAGAGAAGGAGCGGTGAACGAAACGAAATAAAAAAAAAGAGAGAAGAAAGAGGAGAACGAGAGAAAATCGAGAAGGGAAAAATGTTTCTGGCACGGGATATAATGGACGCATTGCACACGAATATAATGAGATTTTACAGTGCAATTCACATAAAGCATTGGAAACAACAAAAGCTTTCGTGCCGTGGGGTTGAACGGAGGGACGTGGGGCGGGGGTGTAGCGCGATAAAAATGCCTGCGCCTAAACACATTATTTCTCCGTAGCCCCGCTTCAGCTCTCACCCCCCTTGCACCCTTGTATGCCGCGATCTCTGAATGCAAACTGTTACCCTTTACCACCACCTCGAGGCCACTTCTCTGCCTGTGTATTTTTTTCCTTTTTTTTTTTAAATACGCCCCTCGGTCGCGGTATCGGGATTGCAGGACGTGTAAGCGTCTCATTAACGGTGCTTGCTTTCTTTTGACGAGCAATGCGCAGTTGATTACCACTCGAAACGCAGCGCCGGAACAAAAACCCCAACAACGGAGACATTTTTGATTATGGGTACGCTTTAAACGCTGATAATTACGACGGAAAAACGGTGCCACAGGAAGAATCAAAGGGTGATTGCACGGTGGTTCGTTCACGCGACAATCAATTTCGTACGACACTTCGTATCAAGTTTATCGTTCTTGTAAAGTGGGCGATTTGTTTATAATTTTACCAGTATTGTAGGAGAATCAAATTATGACTCTATAATAATTTTTAAATTTGACGAGTTCTTAACAATTTTTATACTGTTCACATTTTTGCAAGGTGAGGATTTTTATTTAGATATGTGTATGATAAAATGGCTGACTGTGTGATACAATGTTGACACCTCTTAATGTCTAACCTCATGTCCTTTGATTATTTTAGTAACTCAGGTTTAATTATTCCCTGCTGCTGAATATGAATCAGCTGTGTCAAAACTGCAAGTACGTCACAAGTGTGGTACATAAGGATCTCTTCCTTTTAAAATTAGAACAAGAAATAAACTAAAATTAGAACAAGAAATAAATTAAACTAAATTACATTATACCTTCAGATTTAACGTCAAAGTAAACGTACCCCTGTACCCGAAGAAATTAAACCTAAAGAATATTTATTTAAAAATGTGATTCCAGTATCGAAGCCACAGAAGAATTTCTCAAAAAAACGCAGCGAACGATGGTACAGAGAACACTACGATTCCACCGCGACGCTTTCAGTGTTCACAGGACAAACACACGTTAATTAGCCAAGCGCGAAGAGAAAAGGAACCAATACACATTGCATCGGCGGGATTCGAATTTTTGGAAAATCACGATGCCGGGATGGATCCGTTGGACAAACAAGTGCCTAACTCTGTCTACCTGTTTTTTTTTCCGCCCCGAACTGTTTCCGGACCTTCGACTCTGAATACCCTTTGAACGGCGTCCAATAGGGAGTGGAACGCTTGGAAAAAAAAGCGAGCTTGCAGGGACCGCGACGGAAAGAGGAAGAGAAGAAGAGCAACAGGGACGAAAGAATCGGTGGAACAGGCCGGCGAACAGAGACAGAACCAGAGGAAGATAAAAAAGATTGGAGGGTGCGTTTTGTCGCGCCGTCGATAAATTTTGAATGCACCCGACCACGCGACAATCAATTTCGTACGACACTTCGTATCAAGTTTATCGTTCTTGTAAAGTGGGCGATTTGTTTATAATTTTACCAGTATTGTAGGAGAATCAAATTATGACTCTATAATAATTTTTAAATTTGACGAGTTCTTAACAATTTTTATACTGTTCACATTTTTGCAAGGTGAGGATTTTTATTTAGATATGTGTATGATAAAATGGCTGACTGTGTGATACAATGTTGACACCTCTTAATGTCTAACCTCATGTCCTTTGATTATTTTAGTAACTCAGGTTTAATTATTCCCTGCTGCTGAATATGAATCAGCTGTGTCAAAACTGCAAGTACGTCACAAGTGTGGTACATAAGGATCTCTTCCTTTTAAAATTAGAACAAGAAATAAACTAAAATTAGAACAAGAAATAAATTAAACTAAATTACATTATACCTTCAGATTTAACGTCAAAGTAAACGTACCCCTGTACCCGAAGAAATTAAACCTAAAGAATATTTATTTAAAAATGTGATTCCAGTATCGAAGCCACAGAAGAATTTCTCAAAAAAACGCAGCGAACGATGGTACAGAGAACACTACGATTCCACCGCGACGCTTTCAGTGTTCACAGGACAAACACACGTTAATTAGCCAAGCGCGAAGAGAAAAGGAACCAATACACATTGCATCGGCGGGATTCGAATTTTTGGAAAATCACGATGCCGGGATGGATCCGTTGGACAAACAAGTGCCTAACTCTGTCTACCTGTTTTTTTTTCCGCCCCGAACTGTTTCCGGACCTTCGACTCTGAATACCCTTTGAACGGCGTCCAATAGGGAGTGGAACGCTTGGAAAAAAAAGCGAGCTTGCAGGGACCGCGACGGAAAGAGGAAGAGAAGAAGAGCAACAGGGACGAAAGAATCGGTGGAACAGGCCGGCGAACAGAGACAGAACCAGAGGAAGATAAAAAAGATTGGAGGGTGCGTTTTGTCGCGCCGTCGATAAATTTTGAATGCACCCGACGGCGGAATTAGTAGCCTGTTGGGGTAATGATCAAAAAAATTATAAACAAAAGATTCCACGGATGGCGAGCCTTTTTCGTGGATCAGCGAGGCAAGCGGAGAACGCTTGCGAAAAAGCTTTGACGGTGGTACGGTTCCCAGACCTAACCCATCCGGCTCCCATTGGTGGACCAAACCTACCGGCGCTATATTTAAAAATCGGCGCGCTCTCCCGGAAACTTTCTCCACAAAGGGAAGGGGTCGAACCGTTTACATCGAGTTTATTAAAATCGACTGGCCGCGAATATAAACCGTCAAACGTTCGACGCGCCAGCTTTCGGCTGGGATTCGCACGAATTCTGGACCTTGTTAAACTCTCCTTTTTTCGTTCTTGCTTTGTACACTTTTGATATATTGAAATTGCAGGCGCCCACTAGACCGATGGACCTGGCATAACGTTATATATTGCCTTTCAATTATTTTCCACGATCGAATGGACCCAATTTTATATACTTTTGCCTTGAAACGTGGTTCGGATCGCGGACAGATCAAGTACCGAAGAGATCAGCGACAATGTTCTATATGGACTGGAGGTACACGAAGATTTTAGTCTCTCTTTTCAAATTTGGAATTCTGGTAAATTAGCTGTTTGACAATTTAACAATTGTTTAGAAATTTCAGCTTAGGAATTCCAACTTGGAAATTCACAAATTTTAGGTTTACTGTTCTGTAAGTTTATTACTTGGAAATGTAAAAATTCCTCAATTTCAAAATGGAAGAGTGAATCACTTGATATTGCAGGCTGCCCCTTCTTGTTCTAAAGAGGGCGCTCAATCACTGATTCAGTCCTTCTTCAACTTTTTCGAAGAACCATTTTATTTTCTCTCGGTTTTCTGCTTTAAATATGATTGTGCTTTAAATGATTAAAGATGCAGACTGCTGAGTTATTAGGGATTAACAGTAAATACTTTAACACCTTGATGGTTCTATATTCCATCGAATGACCCTCATAATTTTATACTGCCTTTTATATCGTAAAAGCGATTATTGAGAATATGTTTGCGAGTTACTATAAAATTACTAGTCTTCAAATTATAATTAGTAAGAATAAAGAAAAGTAAAAATATCGATGCAAGAAATTGCGTGTCAAAATCACGAATGCGTGAAACCTAACCTCACTTGAATCGATAATTTATGGTCACAGTAAGGTTGGGTTAAGAATAGTTGTAGTATGAAATTCGTACTGATGGAAATATAAAATTTAAAGATAAAGTGGTGCAGAAGATTAGACTTAAGTTCTTTCATTACTCTTTTTAGTAAATTTTTTTTTTATTAGTATTGTTTATGTCGGGTGGATGCAGTTGAATTGTACCTAAAATTGGATACTAATAAAAGCATTCTAAAATATATTGTGATATACTAATCACACATGCTGTCGCTATTCTATTATTACTAATCCGTCTGATTCAAAAATTAGGTGAAACTGAATATTTACTGAAAATAAGATTCCATGCATTTGGTATTTTTTATAACAGGAAATTATGGAATGTAGTAACTACTTTTGAAGTGTGAGAAAATTCTATTTCCAACTCTTCAGATTTCCAAATTTCTAAACTCCCAAAGATTCACTTCCATTTCCTAATTTTCAATTTTTTCAAATTTCAAATCACTTTCAAGTTCTCAAATTCCTATTTTCTTAATTTCCTAATTCAGTAATTTCCAAATTTTCAAATTCCTCAATTCCCATTTTCCCCTTTCGCAACCTTCTAATTTCCACACCCCAAATTCCTAAATTCCCAAATTCCCAAATTCCCAAATTTTCAAATTCCTCAATTCTCATTTTCCCCTTTCGCAACCTCCTAATTTCCACACCTCAAATTCCCAAATTCTTAAATTCCCAAATTCTCAAATTCTCAAATTCCCAACTTCTCAAATTCCCAAATTTTCAAATTCCTCAATTCCCATTTTCCCCTCTCGCAACCTCCTAACTTCCACACCCCAAATTCCCGAAAGCTCACACTTCCGCGGATTCCCACCAGTAGATCTATCAAAACCCCGCACAAAAAGCCTATTTACCACCGTCGGTAATTACTCTTGGAAATACCCTAATACAGTAATAAGGGGAAGTTGTAGGGGCATGAAAATAAGATAAATTGAAAAAAATGAAAACAAAAAAGAAGAACAATACCTATCGTATCAACAAAAAGCACAGACGGATAACGGAAGGCTTAGCCGTAGCCCGGCTTCGTCAGCTTTCAAATGCAATTGATACGTACGGTGGATGATGCTGGTGCCTGCCGTGATCGTAAATCCGTCCACCAACGCTACAGGGAAAGAGAGAGATTCATTATTTTTAATTAAACAAAACAATAATACGCTTATTAATTGATTAATTAAACATCACGTATGTATTACGTTGTTCCATCAACGGCCGGCACCCGTCGGTTAATCCACCCTTCGACCCCTTTCGGAACGTTCGCCGCTTATTACGCCGACTTTTATCCAGGGAGTTTCGCGGCAACGACCCGCCAACAGGAGAGGGAATACAAAAAAACGAGGAACGAACGAAAAAAAAAAATTTCGTTCGCTCTGGTATCATTGTGTTTGTTCGGTCGGCCGTGATCGCGACGCGGGTTTTATCAATACCGCCGTTTTCGGAGGGATAATAGCCTGATTTTTTGCCCCCCTCCCCTCGGTTCACCGTCGCCATCGCGTCCACGACTTCTCATCGATCGGCAAATTTAATGAAGTTGTATCAGTTATCGAGCCAGCCGGTTTTTCTTGCAATTTTAGTAATTAATTTCTCGATTTAGCGATGACGTCAACGGTTGACGCGCAACCAGTCACGGTTCTAACAAATTTAACGTCATACAGAATTCTGTCAATAGTTTATGCCTTTCTTTTATTCTCCACTTTTTCCTTACTATTTAATCATGTCTCTAATGATTGATGTATTCGAAACTGATTACAGTAGCCTTCGCGCAAAGGCCATATCGCTTATTTTCCTATCATAATTACTGACGAAGTTCGAACCCAAAATAAAAATTCCACATTTTCACATTCTAAGAAAATAAAAGAGATTGGAAACAAATCTATGCAACAAGCTTTAAGTTGCCACTTTTCAATAAGCAGCCTGGGAGTCGAAAGAGTTAACTCGGTCCCAAAACAAAGCCTCTTTACACCTTTGACGGAGTGCCTCCATTTTGTCCGTGGCCCCCGAACAAAGACAGAAAAGGAAGAAAGAACTGCGCGCGTCAGACGCACAATTGCAGCGCGTAAATAAAATATCCCGGTCCAGAAACGAGAGCAGGACGGCGGGATTTAAAAAAAAAAAGAGGGAGAATGGAAAGAAGAAAAATGGCGCAACGATGTGTGCAGGTAGCCGAGGCCGCGTTGTAAGGCAATTCTCAAACGTAGGCGCGCGACCGCGTGAAGTGCATAAACTTCCGGTGACGCTTGCGCGTGGCGAGGAGCGAAGGTACAAAACCGGCGGGCAAGTTGGGCGCGATATAAAACGCCTTTGTCTTGCAAAAACCCGCAGACGTATATCATGCGAGGCCAGGGCAACGGGCATTGTTTCGTTCTCGCATAATTATCGCGAGTCACGTTTTAAAGTTGAATTTCACCTAAATAAAGCTTAATGTTATTATCGCGGCCAGCGGCGACCCGCTGCCGCCATTATGAACTGGTTACAGTCTCAAACGTCATTGTACCACGAAACGATCGTTTCCAACGATATTAAGGCGAAACGTCGACGTTCTTTTTCCATAGGGATTTTTACCCCGTGCCGCGATCGACGTTAATTAGATGCACGCGTCGACCTCCGCTTATTTTCGCTACCCCTTTTGCAGTTTTTCGGCCGCTATGATATTGTAGGCTCTTTTCAATACTTTTACCGTGGGTTACTTTTATTTTGACAAGCTTTGTCTTTCGTTTATTTTACAATATCACTTTACCTGTGGGCAGATTGTCAGATTTCCATCATAATTTTTACTTAAGTTATACAAAATTATTCGTTATAAAATTATTATCGTTTAATTCTTTTTCGTTTAGAGAGCAACAAAATGCTACTCTTCCTATAGGGGCACTGCTCAATACAGTCACTGAATATGCCTCAGCCGTAAAAGTTACTTGTCATACTTAATCAAGAATATAAACATCTACTCTAACCTAACCTAACCGTACTTTACTCTGATATTACCTGTGGGCAGATTGTCAGATTTCCATCATAATTTTTACTTAAGTAATACAAAATTATTCGTTACAAAATTATTATCACTTAATTCTTCCTCCTTTAGAGAGTAGCAAAATGCTATTCCTCCTATAGGGGTACTCAATAAAGTAGACGGAATATGCCTCAGCTGCAAAAGTTATTTGTCATACTTAATCAAGAACATAAACACCTACTCTAACCTAACCTAACCGTACTTTCCTCTGATATTACCTATGGGCAGATTGTCAGATTTCCATCATAATTCTTACTTGAGTAATACAAAATTATTCGTTACAAAATTATTATCATTTAATTTTTTCTCCTTTAGAGAGCAGCAAAATGCTACTCTTCCTATAGGGGTCAATAAAGTCACTGAACATGCCTCAACTGAAAAAGCTATTTGTCACACTTAATCAAGAACATAAACACCTACTGTTAGGAACGAATTTCGACGGTAATGTCATATATTTTCGGGTAGAATACACAGTCATTCTATTCTTAAACTCACACTCAAGCACCCAGAAATTGCTAAAGTCAGTAAAAATTGAAAAAGACGAAAATACATTGAAACTTCTGATCGATAGCACGCGTCTGCACCTCGGTTCTCAAAATTCTGAACGCGGTTCTTGAAGAATGCTTACATAATTATCTGCCTGGCAAGTGTATCAAGCATGAAACGGTCCGTTCAAGTTACCACGCACATGTCTTTCGCAGCGTCGTTTGGGCTCGATCCAATCAATTTCGCGTCACTCGCCCGAAGAAACTCACCAGCCAGAAAGTGAGGATGGGGGGCTATTTAAATTCAGTTACAGCGAAATCGCTTCAACTCGCCGGGAATAATTAATCGTCGAACAAAAAGATCCCTGTTCCATAAATTAAGATAAATTCCTGCGACACGTCGATTCGCTCGGTCAGGATCGTTGCCAAACATCGGCGCAGTTTTTCTCCACGGCGAAATAGTAAAAAACAGAAAAAAAGGGCGGGGGGAAGAGTCCATCGGCAGCCGTGTTCCCCCAACGAATCTGTCACGCTCCCTTTAGCCGGCTTGTAGAACGAAGCTGACGCGTGCGCTCGCACGCACACCGTCATCCCCTTTCTCGTGAGCACTCGTACCAACGGGGAAAACGGCAACCGATACATCCGCGATTCCGGCTACTAACAAACCCAATAAAAATAATGCACTTTCGCGCATTTGCAAATGAACGTTGTCATTTTATTTCGACAGGAATGAGTCACGTGGTGCGCTGGGGCTGCCAACAGCTTCCGTCGCTGATAATAATTATGGATATTGAGAATGGTTATCGCTGACTACCCGCGTATTAATGACGCGTTGCCGATAAACAAATTTCCTGGGTCTAATTTTTTTCACCGAATAATAAAATACGGAGACAATTAGAATGCGAGAAAGTGGAAAAGTGGAAAGGGTGGGTTGTATAAAGGTTCCTTTGATGAATAGATATGGTTCGATTTTAGTCATAGAATTTTTATGTGTCGGTCGTAATCAGATTTAGAGAAATATGTCTTAAGAATAGAGATAAAAGAGGGTGCAGATGAATATTACTGTAAGTATCAAGATTAAATTTTTGGAGCTATCTTCTTGCTTAGAAAAATATCTACTGACAAAATACATCAAACTTCCATTTTATGTACTGATACTTTCATAGAAACCTTCCTACACAAGAATAAATTTATTAAAAATGACAGTCATAACCCTGCACCCTCGATTGCAACTCAATAAATACCAACATCAATAAACGTTTCTAGAACAACATAATGCTGGTAGAAATAAAAATATTTCTCAATTTTTCCCACGTAACCATCAATAACGCCGCAGTTGAAAGTCGAAGTTATAACCATTTCGAATTTTATTTTTCAACGTCCCACGCTTCAATCTCACCTACACGTTGTAATTTCAAGCACCGCTTCGATCAATTCTGGTGAAGTTAAGTCATCGCAAAAATTCCGATACGCCAGGCAAGAATGAACGTTTCACGCCATGAACATTTTTTTATTCTTCCATGGGAGGGTGGATAGGTGGCGGACGCATAACGTGTAATTACTGTCCATGGAACGGTGGAAGCAACGTTTATGCGCCGGTCGTGTAACGTCCAGTTATACACGGTTCTCGATAGTCGTCATTTACAGGAACGTCGCGTTGGATACGGGCGTGTGGCTGTTTATGAATTGACACCGCATTAGGGATATTGCTTAACAATAGCAGTGCTGTGAGCTCGTCGAAGGGCTGGCGTGAAAAGCTGTTATTTTGAAATGCGTTATCGCTGCAAGTAGTAATTGCGTGATTGGAAGGGGCGTTGTAATACCCTGCATCTGGCTACTTTGTATTCAGATGAAAGACATTCTTGATACTTTCTGAAGTCAGTAATTTACTCTACGTTTTCTTAAAAATATGGTTACTCTATTTTTTCTTAATGAAAAAGTTTTATGTGTCTGATAAAAGGGGTTGTTCAAGCTCTGACAATCTCAAAAAAAATCAGAACTGTACTATATAATATTTATTGTTAACAAAGGTAGTTTTGTATCCTTTTTCTTTTCAAATATGATTTTATGTATGTTGTCGATAAATTGATAAATATGTATGCAAAGTGTACCAATAGGCTGACACATCGAAAGAACCTGCTAAGAAGGCATTAACCTCTTCCCGTGCTTTGACGAGTCTCACTCGGGACGCACTTACAGCTCAAATGTGACAGACCTTACACGAATTTTGAATAATATTCAACTTCAAATTTAGGTGCAACTATAAATTGCATTATCAAAGATCCCTGAATATGAAGTACTCAGAACATTTTAATTTTCTTTGTTCCTTTTAATGTTATAGTCCTGAATAGTCTTGACTGATGCATCTGGTAAATGGCGCGAGAAGGGTTAAATTTGGACATCGAAATTCAAGTTACTGATCTACAGAAATGAATGAAAACACGCGATTTCTTTCCAGTGAACATTCACCACCACCGGAGCAATTTTTCACGCTCTTTCTCGGTTCAAAAATTCATCCAATCGTGTCTTATTAATTTCTCTGGTAAAACCTCGTAAGTTCGTTCAAGTAACCGCAAAACTTGCGCGTTTATATTCCGTAATTAATTAACGTGG